AGAGAGATCACAAGTAGGCAGAGTGGCAGGCAGAGAGAGGGGGAAGCAGGCTCCCCGCCGACCACAGAGCCCAATGCAGGGCTTGATCCCAGGAGTTGATGGAACAAACAGCTCTGTGAAGAACATTTCTGCATCTTTTATAAAGCAGCTGTTGGAGGCAACACATGTTACACTCCTGTTGGTACTCGAGGCTCCCTAACCATACAGTCTTGGCAGGTGTACATTCCATGTGATGAAGAAGTTTGCTCCTGTGTTTGTTTCCTTTGGTGATGAACTGAACTGATTCCTTTGATGAGTTATCGAAAGTCATGTAATCATAGTCCTTGGCCATCCACATTTCTAGAATTGCAGATTGTGTTAATCTCCTTGGGTTGCTGTCTACTGGCTATTTGACTCTCATTAACTCTCGTCCAGATGGTGGACACGGAAGGAGGCTAAAACTGTGACCAACAATTTTCAGGGTAACATATATCTTACTTATTAAGGCCACGCAGCCTCCTATCTGCACTGGTATCAGAGGGCTGTTTTGCCAAAGGGAAGCCTTCTCATCTATGCCCTTTGCTTTGGAAAATATAATATCCATGTGCAAGAATGGTAGTCTTAGTCATAATAACAGGTGCCAGAGATACTGTCTTATAACTTGCTAAGTGCTGTATGGAGCTCTTTCCATGTTCAAGCCATTTCATCCCCACATATTTGGGGCTGGTATTGTTTTCCTCATCATATTGACCAGTAAATAGATAGTACTTTGTCCAAAATCACACAGCTAGTAAGAGATAGAACTGAGTTGAATCTAAGAAGTTACTCTTGGCCAGGCTGATTCCAAATATAAGATCTTAAGAGGGCTCTCTGAGATCGTGTTGGGAGATATGAAATAATATCTATCTATCTATCTAACTATCTATATCTATCTATCTATCTATCTATCTATCTATCTATCTATCTATCATCTCCCCCCTTGGTTCCTGGCACAGAACTCTTAAAATCTTGGTAATTTCCTAAGTGATAAGAGCACTGAAAACATCTTCTACTCTAATCTTTGCTCTTTGATCCTAGTTCCTAACAAAGAGCTCTTGTTATTTTGGAATTTCTTGGAATTTCTTGAGGGACAGCAGTATGTTTTGTTCTAATGAGGCAACCCTTGGGGGTTCCAGGCTGGCTTCAAACTTCTTCCATTTCTAAAAAAAATCAGTATTTTTCTATCGATGGCTTTCCTACCAGCCTTTGACTCCCCTTCCCTGGCCTGCGATTCCCTTCCAGGTTTGAGGCACACATGGTGATACCACATCAGGGTTTCCCAAGGGTGTCTGGGGACACCATTTCTCTCAGATATTAATAGGTATGGTGCTCAGATAAAATACCCCTGGTCAAATACCTTTGGGAAATTCTAGATTAAATGAAATGAGAAGGTTTTTTTTTTTTTTTTTTTAATAGGAATGTCTTTTAGTAGGGCAATTATGACTGGAAACTCTTTAAATTCTAGGTAAAGTTGGGAGCATTTTGCAAACTGATATGATGACAGAACCCCTTCTCAAAGAGCTTATCAAGGACCTGGTGTTCCATTGAGCTCTTTCTGGGAAATACAAACCAAAGGACAGTGGCTCCTGCCCCTCACTATCGGTAGCTGAAGCTGGGCCTAACATGTCTTGGAATTTAGTCCTCCTGCCTAAGGAGACTTGGCTTCTCGCTGTAGCTTTCTGTGTGTACTGCCTATCCCCGACATCTGACAAATGACTACTCCTTGACCTTTGTCCTGTCTGGGCCACGAATCCTTCATCCTCTGGCTCTCTTCAAGACCTAACAACAGACCGTGTTTTGTGGACTCAACCCTGCCACTTTTTATCTTGTTGCTGCCTTACCTCCACAGCACAAAGACTCTCCCTGTCATTAGTGGAGCGCGTGTGCGTACAGTGTTCTTTCTAGATTGGATCGCACGCTCCAGCGGCAGGGTGGGTGCAGGGTAGTGTTAGTAACATAAAGACACAACTCTTACCGGTCTATCTAAATATAGCGCCAATAAAACACAGCAGAGTTAGGCTATGTGGACATTTTTATCGTGTCAAGTCCACTAGACACTCTTAGCACCCTGGCCCCAGGTAGTGTGGGAAAAAAAAAAAAAAAAAAACCTAGTTGAAAGGCAAGGCAGTTAGATTTTATGTTAGGGGATGCCATTACTGGAGGCCTCCCACAATTTAAAACTCGCATAATCCAAGATTAATTTTCCATAAAACTGGCGAAGAAAGGCAGACATTTCTTGGCCGTCTGAAGAGGTCCGGCTGGAGCGAAAGCATGGCTTCCGATCCCCCCAGCCTTCCCGCTGAAGCAGGAAGAGGTCTAAAGAGGTCTAAAGACCTCTGTGGTTGTTAATACAAAAAAAAAAAATTTTTATTTCTCTTATTTTAGATGCTGCCCATCATGGAAGGATTTATGTATATGCTCGTGTGGTGCTCTTTGAAATCTGCGCAGCTCTTTAACGAATGGTGACCACGGTGTACTCGGGGAGCATCACTCACTGCCCCCTCCATCCGCACGGTGATTTAATCTGTTAGGACATATGACTGCTGTTGCTTTCCATGCGCCTCTCACGGTAGAAAATATCACTCTGTCCTACAAATGGAAGCCAACTATTTCATCTGGCCTCACCCAAAGAAACCGGAATCTATAGGATGTTGGAACGATGGCTATCCTGAATTTACTGTAAGGTATTTTACTCTCCAAAATGTCACCTAGATTTAGGGGATTTTCAAAGATAACTTTGAATCTACACGATTCTTCTCTTTATGTGTCGACGTTAGAACTTTACCTCCCATACACCATGTGACTTTACTTGAAAATGATGGGCACTGTGTACCACTGACCTAGCATCCGCTACTCCCTTCTCTCCTCCAAACAAAACCCTACTTTATTCAGGTATCTACCCCTCATATGACCTAAGGAAGATGATCCTAACAGCAATTCCAGGAATGAATCTTGATCCGTCTGGTTCATTGTGGCAGTCCCAGCCCCTCCTGCCAGTGAATGATGGGTTTCAGACTGGTCAGGTAACCTAATTCTGACCTATGACATACAAGGTAAAGTCAGTGGAGGGGGCTTGGGAAAGAATTCCTTGATTCTTAGAAAGAGACAGAAACAGAATGGTCCCTCTTCTCCCTGAGCACGTTGGTGGGTTTGGACATGATTCCAACAGTTAGTGCATCTTGTCATCAATCCTCTGAGGAAGAGTGAAGAGAGCAGAGAAGGATAACTCTAGATCCTTGAAGCTATTGCTCAGGTCTTAAACCGATCCTTCCTGCTGTCTCCTGTCCGACGTCTTCCTCTTAGATCATGTCTTGGTAAGCTTGGACTGGCATAACAGAATGCCATAGACCGCATGGTTTCAACAGTAGAAATGTATCTCTCTTCCCTCCAAGAGTCTGGGAAATTCAAGATGAAGGTTCCAGGCAATTGGGTTTCTGGTAAAGCCTCCCTTCCTGGTTGCACAGAGCCTGCTTTCCCCCACCTTCTCACGGTCCTCATACCACCTACACTTGTTATGTGCACAAGGAGACAGAACTCTCATCCTCATTCTGTAAGGCCACCAATCATCCCAGATCAGGATCCCACCCTTATGACTTCATTTAACCTTCATTACATCCTCAAAGCCCTATCTCCACATGTAACACCCAGGAGATGAGGGCTTCAACACATGAATTTTGGAGGGATACAATTCAGTCCACAGCACATAATCTAACAAATGACCTCATGTTGTCTAAACAAGTTTAAATTGGTTTTTGTTATGTATTACTGAATACTCCGTAACCAATATTTCATATCTTATGAAGCCGTACACGAAGGATAATGTCTAATTCATGACATATAACACGAGCGGGTCAAGGGCTATTTTTTTTCTCAGAACAAAGCGGTTGTAGAGTTAAAAATGGTTAATCCATTATTGTTACAGGACATTTCATGAACTGCTGATTGTACATATATGTGAGATCATGTTAACATAAACAGTCTAGCCCTGGGGGAGTTTTAAGTTATAAAGGAAACATTTTTCTAAGATCATGTGCTCTGATACAAAAACCATACTCCAGCCCGGTTCTATCATTCTAAAGTTCTGGCAGGCCAGGAGACATTAGTTGGTGATTTTATCAAGCAAGACTTCTAACTAACAGCTCGGTGAAACCATCACTGCACCGTATAACACAACAACGCATTGAAATGACAAGCCCCTGCAAGGATGTAATCGTTTGCAATCATCACGGCGTATTCTTGAAAAAGCAGTTATCTTAGGGCTCCCTCTCATCCTGCAACGGAGGAGACACTTTCTCCTTTATTCCTGAGATGAGCATTATGTTTATTCTTGCAATTTGAATCTAATTTTAATAATGACCTTCAGCAAGAAGGGCGAAGTGTAGATTTTAGCCCATTCTAGGGAAGAGTTTATGAAACGTTTTAGCTGTTATTTTCATCCTATTGTACACACAGTAATTTTATGCAGTCTTCTGGAGGAAAATTAAATAAATAACATTATAGTGAAGTGAAGGATTTTCATATCATAGCAAAATTCACTTTTTATTTCTAGCCTGGGAAGTGGAAAGAGCAGCACTTAGCAAATTAAAAACAAAACAAACAAACAAACAAACAAAAAAAAAAAAACAAGGCCAAACAAACAGAAAACAAACTCCACCAAGCCACAAAGGAGGAGAGCTACTTCTGCATATAGATGGACCCACATTAAAGCAACAGAACTTGGGCCACTTCGAAATCTTAAAACTTCTGACACTATGTTCACGGACTCATAATACAAACCATGTGGTGAATGATTTTTCTGAAAAACTTTGCTGGTTTCACTGTGTATTTTATTATTGGCCAAATGTGACATTAAATTTTATCCCCTGTGGCTTGGAGTTAAATGCTTGCTCTGTTCAGAATGGCAACACTCAATTAAACAGCATTTTTCATGATCTACACCCACCATTGTTACTGTATTTAAGGGAAATAATGGGGGTACTGACCTATATTGCGTTTCTTATTATCAATGGAGATGAAGCGTATGCAAGGATTACTGGTGATGTACTGCCCAGCCCAAGGGACATCAATCTTCGTGCCAGCTTCATAAAAGAGGCCCAGAGCGTAGCGAGAGGAGTAGCTCACAGACTCCAGTTGCCGCCTTTGGCATTCACTAATTACTGTGGAAGAAACAGTACAGGGCATTAAACTTGAAAATATCATCTTTCCTTTGAGTGCATCGAATATAAAAGTCCTCTAAACAAGTTCCAACGGGGCCCCTTAACTCTGTCTCACTCACAATGGGTTTTTAAAGGTAGCGCCAAACAGCATCAGCTCTAATTTCTTTTGGCAGTGATTACTGACCTTGGCACAATTGTTTTTAACCAAACTGAAGATCCAAACTCTTTAGAATGGCATTCAAGGCTCTCAAAATCTGGCACCAAGTTGCTTTTCCAGCTTTGGATCCCAGTTAGTACCCTGGGACTGTCTGGCGTCATTATACGTCAGATACTGGGCACTTACTAGGTGTCTGAGTCCTTGCCACACACTTGATAAAGGCATTTCAGTCTGTCCTAACAACAGTTGAATAAAGTCAAGCATTTCTCGCAACTTCCAGGCCGGAAGGCTAATGCACTATCCCTGATAACCTCTTAAATTCTTCCATGTCATATAAGGATTTGTCGGTCATCTTTCTTGCAGTGGATTATAACAATTCCTTAAGCACGGTGACCACACCTTAGGCATCTCTGTCATAAGCCTCTACCCTACTCTGTTTCACGCATCCCCAAAAATAAAATGATAAGGGAATGAACAGAAAGGCAAACACAGACACACATAGTTAGTTAAAAAGCAGGAGGTAAATCATCAATCCCCAAATGGTAAAAGACCAGGAAAGGAATTAGGCAGGTCTGGGTTCCAATTCTGATTCCACTATGTGACATCGGTCAAATTACTTGTTCTAAAGTAGTCTATAGTCCTCTTGTCTGTAGGCAGCAGTAACAGTATGTCTTGAGGATCACATCAAATAACGGGTAGCACAGTGGTTGGCATAGGACACATGTTTACCAAATAGCCACTTTTTCTATTATAGAGAAGAAAATATTTGTTCCAACTGGGATGGGGAAGGAGGTGATTTCCCTCACTTCTCAGTCTCCATCTGTCTTCCTACCTGTCATGGAATTGCTTGTTCATATATGCACAGCATTAAGAATCTGGGTTTCACAGAAGGCCACAATTCTATTCTGAAGACTTAGGCTGGTTTAGATAGGAAACATATACAATTTTTTTGTGTAAATATAGAAAACTGTCCTAATGTATAACAGGAAGGATAGGCAGACCTCAGGGATGGGCAGTATTTTAGCTAAACCTTAGGGAAGTGGCTTGAGGAGGTAGGGAGAAGGTAAGAAGGTTATTCAATGAATTATTTAAGCACGCTAATAATCCTATACATTATTATAGCATATTCTTGGTTACAGAATATTTTTAGAACTAAGACCTCACAGGATCTTCACAAAAGCCTTGCAAATTAGGTGTTTTTACCAACCTTGTTTTCCATCCCTAGGAAGCTGATATTCAGAGGTTAATGAACTGACCCTGAGTCACACAGCTTCCAAGTGGTGTGGCCAATGAAACCAGAACTCCCGCACTAGAGTCACATATATATCCTCTTTATTCCATGCTCTCCCTTCCTGAGCTGTAATCTGAGCTCCCAAAATGTGTTCTATGCAACTAATGAATCGTTGAACACTACAACAAAAACTTACGATGTCCTATGTGTTGGTTAACAGAACATCATAAAATAAATAAATAAATAAATAATTTTTTTAAAAAATGAACTTTGGCATTTCTTTGTCCTCTGACATGAATGGTTATTTTTTTACTGACTTAGAAGTAACGGCATCATCGTGCCCTCTAACCATCATTGTTTGCCTTATTAAAAGCCTGAACTACTTGATGAGCAAATGATCTGACACTGGCCTTGTTATACTCAGCGTCTCTTGGGGTTCATTTTATTATTTAATTTGCTGCTACAGTTACGGCTTGATGTTACGCTCACTGCTTTCCGAGAGGGAGGAGGGGAAGGGTGAGATTCTTTATGGCAGTTGAGTACTTGCGGGCTTATGGCTCTTTCTCATTTTTTCAATTAAAAACCAAAGCAACGGGCGCCTGGGTGGCTCAGTGGGTTAAGCCTCTGCCTTCGGCTCAGGTCATGATCTCAGGGTTCTGGGACTGAGCCCCGCATCGGGCTCTCTGTTCAGCAGGGAGCCTGCTTCCCCCCTTCCCTTTCTCTGCCTGCCTTTCTGCCTACTTGTGATCTCTCTCTCTCTGTCATATAAATAATGAAAATATTTAAAAACAAACAAACAAACAAAACAAAACAACCACTAAAGCAACAAAACCATGTCCTCAGCTGCATGGTCACTGAAAGGGCCTAAATCTCTCTCTCTCTCTCTTTCTCTCGCTCTCTCTCTGACCCCAATTGAAAGGCCAACCAGGTTGACAACCAAGATGGGCACATTTCGCCAGATTTCAGACAAGCTTGCCAAGTGGTATACCCCACTGGGGGGCCCTGTGAAGAGGTAACTGGTCAGTCTCTATCCAGACCCAGAAATTAACCGTAAACACCCCCGCCTGCTCCTGGAGCCCCACGGTTCACTCCCAGGACAGGGGTGTAGGACTTCTGACAGGAAAAAAAACTCTGTTTCTGGACATGCGTGCTTATGAAATAGTTCATTGTCAGGGCCCGGAAAGTTTTACAATTGTTGTGGAGCCTAACAAAATGGTGTCATTTTGTTTGAAAAATATTCTTCTGCAGAATGCTGAGGGGAGCATCCCTAGGTCCCAAACACATATTTTTGGCAGGAACAATGATAGGTTTTCTACTGTTATGTATTCAAAAGGGTCATATATCCCCCAAACAAGGCTTAGATAAAAATGTCGAATTTCAGTATAATCAGTCTTTACCTGGATTCACCATCATTGAATTCTGAACCAGCAGCGTTATCTAATTACATTGCATGGATGTGTGATGTGTGGCTACGTGGGGAGACAGAGGACAGGGAGAGAGAGAGATAAAGGCCTGAGCTGTACTCGGAATAACATCAAGTCTTTTCATTTTTTTGTTTCTTTTTTATTTTTTTTTAAAGATTTTATTTATTTATTTGACAGACAGAGATCATAAGTAGGCAGAGAAGCAGTCAGAGAGAGAGGAGGAAGCAAGCTCCCTGCTGAGCAGAGAGCCCGATGCGGGGCTCGATCCCAGGACCCTGGAATCATGACCTGAGCCGAAGGCAGAGGCTTTAACCCACTGAGCCACCCAGGCGCCCCCATTTTCTTGTTTCTTAACCTATAAAAGAAAGCTAAACATACGTATTCTGCCCATTTCCTATATACATATTTTAAAGATTTTATTTATTGATTTGAGAGAGATAGAATGAAAATGAGCTGGGGGTGGGGAGGGGAGAAGCAGAGGAAGAAGCAGACTCCCCATTGAGCAGGGATCCCGACACTGGATTTGATCCCAGGACCCTAACATCATGACCTGAGCTGAAGGCAGATGCTTAACCAACTGAGCGACCCAGGCGTCCCTATTTCCTCTATTTTTTCAGTATTCATTCATTCATTCATTCATTCATCGCCTACTTTATGCCAGGCACTGTTCTAGATATCAGGGACATGAAACAGAAAGTTGAAGTCTGTGCTCTCATATAGCTCACATTCTAGTGGGGAAGAGGCCAGTTATAATCTGAGAAGCAAGTCAGTGGCATGTCAGCTGGTGAGAAGAACTATAAAGAAAAACGAAGCAGGATAAATGGATAAACGTGACAGGTCTGGGTGGTCAGGCTGTTAGGGATCTATAGCTCCTTGGAGGATTTTATTCTGATTGACACGGGTAGTTACTGCTGGGTATGAGCCAAAGACAGATATGACCCAGCCTCTGTTTCAGAGACTATCATTCTGGCTACAGATAAAGACTCCAAGAGAGGAAGTGGGGACAGCTATTGGAGTCACATTAGAATGGAGATAACAGAGAGGCGGGTCAGAAGTGGTTCCATCTTGGATGGGATATACATGTGTGTATGTTTGTGTGTGTGTGTGTGTGTGTGTGTGTGTGTGTGTCTATCTGGGTGTGTATAAGTGCATTTACCTTATCTATTTTACACATGTGTGTATGTATGTACATATATGCCACATATACACATACACATTTATAAATACATATCAAGCAATTTTTAATTTTCATGCAGAAAAGTATGCCTTGTTGAATGTTCCTACAAACAGACCAGTATAACCCCCAGCTAGATGAAGAACCAGAACATTATGAGACCCCCAGAAGGGAGTCCCTCAATACTAAGTTTGTGATATTTACAGATGCTGTCGGATGTAGCGGTAGTTCATTCCCCACTGCCGGGATAGTTCTGCTGCCCTTTCTTTACCCCCTCTGCTGCGGATGGCCATGGGGACTGCTTGCACTATTCAGCGACAACAAGCGTCACGTGAGGAACACAGCATGTGTTTCTCTCGGGTCTGTACCTAGCACTGGGACTCCTAAACACGGGGTTCCTTTCCACTCAGCTTTCCCAGATCCTGCCAGGTGTTTTCTGAAGTGATTGTGCCCATCTGCACTACCCTCCCTCACCACCCCCCTGCCCCTACTGTGGACAGAAGTTCAGTGCCTCCCCGCTTTCCTTCCTATTTGCTACTACCTATCTGCCTTCCTAATTTGGGGGTGTAATGACATCACACTGTGCAGGCATTTATTTGCATTGCTAATGACTCATGTTTGGAAAACCTGCCTTGTTTATTTGGATATCCTCTTGCAATCACCTGTTCAAATCTTTGCTCATTGTTCTTCTTGGGTTGTCTGCCTTTTTCTTATTGCTATATAGGAGTTCCTTACATATTCTGGACAGGAGTCTTGTATGTGAATTGTAGGTTTTCTTCTCCATGGCCTGAATTTTTACTGTCTTATTCGTGTGATTTGATGAACAGAGTTTTAATTTAATTTAATTTTATTTATATTTTATTTATTTATTTATTTGTCAGAGAGAGAGAGAGAGAGTGCACAAGCAGGCAGAGGCGGAGAGAGAAGCAGCCTCCCCACCGAGGAGCCTGATGCGGGACTCGATCCCAGGACCCCGGGACCACAACCCGAGCTGAAGGCAGTGGCCCAACCGAC